AGTCCACAAAAAAATACAAAATAGGAGCAGAGCGAACACGGACACGGACGGATCAGAGGTGGGATTAGGTGCCATGGAGGAGTTAGCATCCCCTGCAGACCGGTCACACCCGCCTTGTGCTCCTTGACATGATCGGGTAATAACGTGAAAATCCGTCGTCAATTCAGTGTGTAAATAATGGTCTAACAATTAGTATGGAAAACATCAATCAACATTTTACTCAATGACAAATCGTATTTTCTGACAAGGTCATTGTATCGACCATAGAACTTATGAAATGATGACTTTAAACGAGACTGCTGAAATTCTTGTTTCATCAACCTGTTTGTCAATAATTTACCTCATTTTAGAAATTGTTCATACGTAGAGTATGCTCTTGCATGTCGAATAAACTGCTAGATATAAATTACGTACGCAGGTGATGAAGGTATACTGCTGCATAAGTAAAGGAGGTTGACGATTGAAAAATTAAAGACATCACGTTTATCACAGAGCTTGGTTGTTAGATAAACTTTATCGTTTTTTTCCCAAGTAAATTATCAAATATGAAACAGATGTGTCACACTCTGTGTTATCTTTTATTTCGAGCTCACCAGGATTTATCGTATTGACATGAGAATGGAAATTACCATTGGAAATTGACAATTCGTCGTCGATTTATCTAAATGACGAGTTGAGGGCCACAACAAGTGTTTTCTTCTTTTCACATTTAAGAAATTCTGCTTTATATGAATGCAAAGATAGGTCTGCTAATAAAATATCTTTTTAATCTTTAACAGTCATTGATAAATACAATTTTGCCCTACCAGTATATCCCAGAGAGGCATACAAATAAATAATACTTTTAAAAAAACCAAATACACAACATTATACAGTTATTTAAAGCAAAGTTAAAGTGATGTAACTTAAAAGTGATTGATCAGCTTTAAATTGAATTTCCTTAAAATGAAATAATTATTTTTTTTATATAAAGAACTATTAGTTAAAAAATTCAGTATATTGAATTGAAACTTCCTTTCTACATTTGAAACACAACGATATCATTGAGATATCTTTTTTGTTTTTGTTATTAGTTATACATGTAGTTTTAAAAAGGTGTAAATATTCATAGCAAGTAAGGTGTGCACCTCAGGATTCTCTTAGTTTCCTTATGAATAATATATCATTTTAATCGATAGTCAATCGCAAAAGTCGTTCTAGTCAATATTTTAAAACTTTTCAGGGTTAGTCAACAAGGTATTTTATACGGGCCGTAGTACCACTGTCCAGACATTTCTTTTAAGAAAGGACAAAAAATAGTCTTGATTCAATAATTCTGAAGTAGGCATGATAAAGTTATATATGAAGGCATATATGTTTGATACATAAAATATATGGAGGTAACAAACAGTATTTAACTCAAAAGTCTATTAAACAATACAAAATAGGAGCGGAGCAAACACGGGCCTCCAAAGCATCAGAGGTGTGGTATTCAAAGTATTTTTCTTAAATATAAGAACTATTTAGATTTTAGAAAGGAAATGCCAGTTTGTATAACTAACATTAAAAATCATGGAATATAATTATATTTATATTAGAGAGTTACTTGAAAATGAAACAGTAATCTTCCACTGGTTGTTGTCAGAATAAATCGAGGATTTTTCATAGCGATATTTTGCATTGTTGCTGTTCTTCTTCTTTTTTTTGTATTTGAATCAAATTTCGCACATCATCATCATCATCATTTGTGATGTATCCTTAATATAACTGTCAAGAACAAATTATTTAGCCTTAATATAAATTTCTTTTATTGAAAGTATAGCATGTGTTCATTGGATTTGCATGAACTTTAAAGTCGACTTTAAATTAGCACATTATATATTTATTTTTTTTCTATTTGATTAAAAATATAGGGAAAATAGCACTTGTAAATTAAATGTAAACACGTGCATGTATTTATATAAATTCCCTAAACAAATGACATTTTTCTACAGTACTAAATTTTTATAAATGATGCTACTGTTCTGTTGCTAACTTCCCTAACAATACTGTAGATCACAACTTTTTCGCGACACCTTCATTTCGCGAGATAGATATCTACTTTTCATTAGCTAGATAAAGTTTCCTCGAATCGTGGTAAGTGCTTTGAATAGCCTTGAGGAAAACTAATTTACGTGAGGATGATATTTTCGCCAGCACATTGTCTGGCGTAATTTTGCAAAAATAAAACTATAGCGAATTAAGAGTGATTAACAGTATTTTCTTATCATCTGCAAATAGAATTTTTGTTTGCTTGTTGATTTAATACGCAATAGCATGTCCTACGAAAGAGAAATTTCTAAAACGAAACAAGCTTTTGAGAAACAAGTTGATGAAACAAGATTATCAACAACCTTGTTTGAAGTCAGCATTTCAAGTTCTATGATTAATGACCTTTTCAGCAGAACAATATACAATTAAGTCGAATGCTGCCTCTTCCTATAAACTGTCTGGTCATGTTGTCTACATATTTTTCTGTTGCCCGATCTGGTTAAGGATCACACGGTGGGTGTAAACGTTCGACAGGGGATGACACAAGATCCCACCGCTTATGTTTAAGACGTCCGTGTTTTCTCTGCTCTTGATTTGTATTTCTGCAACAGACATTTGAACTAAATTATTGTTGTTATCTCCAAATTTCATTGCTTTGATGGCGCCAGCAAAATCTCTTCCCGATTGTTTTAGTATGCAATTTCAAGAAAACAAGTACCAATCTTTCGATTTCATAAACAGTTCTAACCACCTGCCCAATTGCACTTCTCATTTTTCTCTCTCCTGTATGTTTTATCAAATATTTAACCGCGAATCGTAAAAAAAAACTTAAAGTTTAACTACCTAAAACAAGATAAGATTTATTATGCATCTTGACTTTTTAAGATAATGGGTTAAAAATTATATAATAAACCACCACTTTGTTTTACAGAAAAATATTCTTTAAGTTCGGTTGCCTTATTTTATATCGCATGGACCCAGACTAAAAACTCTTTCACTGCATGACATAACAGCTTAGTTTCTGCAAAAGTGGCAAAGTCTATGGTGTATTTTTTAACATTTCAAAATCCAGTGATGCGCTCGTAGATAGAAAAAAAATTTAGATTTTATTTTGAAAAAGTGTCCTCAAAACCTTGAACTCAAAGGTACATGGAATTATGGTATATTATCATATATTGAAAGGAAGAAACGCAGGGTAGTATGCCCAAATGATTTAGGGTCTGGTCAAAAAGTATACATGTTCACATATGAAGATAGGTCGGAGGAGTATTTTATATTCTGTGCACTTAAATCGGTGTTCAGAATTACTCAACCATGAAATGTATGACGTCATGTTAGGAAAAAGGTAGAAAACCATAAATAAGAGCGTATTAATGATGAAAAGTTTTTCAAGACATTTTGTAATACCAATTGATGTACCAAGAGTATGTACATTGTTCTTGGTACTTACAGACATTTTGAAGCTTTTTTTATCGTGGTACGACCGACAGAAGTTCCATGGGGTATGCCTGTTGCGCATAACATAAGTCAAGCAAAGGCAAAATCAGGCTACTGTCAGTTTATAGAAAATTGAGAGAGGAACTTGAAGGTATATTCAACCTTGACGATGACGTTGGCGCGTAACAACATCACGTCAAGTTTCGGCTATTTATCCTGCATCCCATACGTTATTGACATCTTATTACCTGCATTGGAATATACCACTGAAATTGCCATCATAACACCAGACAATGATTATCATTACATTCCTCCATTGTCTGGATGAGACCAATTCTGCATTTTGGTTTTTAAGCTCGACAGCTTTACGCCAGTGTTCTTTTATACTCATGCGCACAAGCGTTGTATGTCTACATCGATTCCTTTGACCCAATGTAGCCAAAGTTTTTCAAGACTTTCTGTTAATCACATTGACCAACTCTAGTACTGTCTTTCGTTAAGTTCATCTTTTTCTCCAATTGAACATTTATTGGACTAACAAGACAGTAGGACAGGAGCAGCTACCGGGATGTGTTATATAAACATCGTCGAAATGGTTGAATAATATTCGTATGAGAAAGATAAATGCACTGGTGAATGCCATACAGAGGCAAATCAAGACAGCGAAAGATGTGCGAGGGAAGAAAAGTGATTTTAACTTTTGAGGTATACCGTTCATAAACTCATGTATTATCCAGTACAATCAAGTGAGACTTGGTTACTTGCTGATTAAAGAATAATCTAAAGTCAATTGTAAGATTAAATTATTGGAAAAAACGTTTGAAAAAATATCGGTGATCGACATCAAAGTTTATTTTCCTTCTAGTATATGAACACTTTGAATAATTGTTTAAAAAAGGTTTTCTATACATCATCAAACAATGATGGGCTTTCCGATAAATAAATATAATATGTTAATAAATGTATATATACAATGTTTAATACATGCATATGCTCTATATATATGCAATTGTGAAGCATTTTTGAAAACATTATATGCAAGGTCAAAACAGATAAAAAGACCTAAGGTTTAATATTAGACCTTTTTGAAACTCTTTAATGGGTGTCATTTTAAAAGAAAAATAATATTCATTTTCTGAATTAAATAAAAATATATTATATATATATATATATATATATATATATATATATATATATATATATATATATATATATATATATATATATATATATATATATATATATATATATATATATAAGGACAGCTAAAAATGAGCAATGACTGAAAGAAAACAATAGTTCAAAAAATTTATTCTTGGCTTTTTGTTTCACTAAAATTAAAATATACCCACTCAATAAGCACAGCTGTCTTCAACACTTAAAAATGGATCTTGAAAAAATGATGAATATAATCATATGTACATTTCGAAATATGTGAGATTTAAATATAATTTTAAAAAAAATTAATCTTAGCAGTTCATCGTACCCATGAACTGTTTACAGTAAAGAAAAATCAAAGGTATGTAATTACATCATTCAAGAAACAGGCATATTTATGGTTGTGAACATGGTTGTGAACTTTCTGAGTTGTTGATTTGAGCATAAATTGCATCGTTGGTTTCTTCCTGGGAAACAGTTGTATTACATGTTTTCACGTCGCTCTTATTTTCTATCGTTGGGTATGCCGTAGCTTTACCATTGCTGTAAAAAATATATATTTAAAAATGAAAATTAAAATAAATTAAACACATTGAAGTTCATGATAAAAATTTCCTAGAAGTAGAACTCTCGACGAATGGAATTTTCTAAACAAATATTGGTCTAAGGTAAAATCAATACTTAAACTCTTATTAGCGTATTTATGACTTACATTAATATAGGTCAAAATAAATGGTATTTACATACAAATGAGGGTTTTTTCAATATTATTGATTAACTAAGCAAGTATGATATCTATGTTTTACTGGTTTGTTGACAGTGTACATGTCCGTTTTGTCTTATAAAGAAATCAAGAAGAGATACCTGAAAGATCCATTTTGCACACCAATTTTCGAAATTTTATGAAGTTTCCGTATGTAGTATGCGAGTCCAAACGATACAGCAAGGGATGCTATTGTTAGGATAAGGAAAAGAACGCCAACGACAGAAAGAGCATTGGTTTCACAGCTGTACACTTGTCCAAGATCTACACAATTTTCAAGAACACCACATGGATTCGAACGACAATGTAAAACAGGCAGTGGTTCTGGAATCGTTCCATTAACAATAATTGTAATATTTGAAGAATGAGTTGAATTCAAAGAATTTGAGACAGAACAGGTGTAAGTTCCTGAGTCAGATTCTTGAAGATTTTGCAGAATAAGAAACTTTCCATTAGAAGTAATTTTCTCCGTTGTGTTGGAGTTTGCAGCTTGAGAGATCCAGTTACAATCATCGTCAGTTGGTGCAGGGTTTCCATCAGCTACACATGTTATGTTGAGCTTTGAAGTGGATATTGGGTAAACATCCAATTCAGGAACTCGAATGATGCTGCGAACTATAGCTTCATCTAAAGAGATCATTGATAATTTAATAAGCCGGGATTTTTCTCATGATCATAAAATACATTGACGTAACATTAGATATAATCTGGCAGAAAAATATATTTGTTTAAAATTTCTGTGTTTCTATTTCAATCTATAAATAAAACTTAAATTAAGACAATCTCTCTAGGCTAAACTACATGTACTGGTTAAAATTTAGACAATCTCTGTCGGCTAAACAACTGGTTAAAGAGTTTCAAATTTTTCTTACATTGGTCAATTAATACGTAAAATTAAAAAATTTCAGTTAGCCTTCATCCATTCACCTTTTCTGTCTTACATGAAAATAAATCATCCTTAACGTTTATTTTATAAGAATTGATCAATTTTTAGTGAAATAAAGAATTCCTCCTTTGTTAAATTATTTTAAGTAAATTTGACAATTTCAGAATATTGAAATATAACTATGGGACTCATTGATAATATCTATAAATAAAACTTGCTGAACTAACTTCTTCAGGAAAGTGAGAGAAAAATGGATCTTATTTGATCTTACAATTAGTTCGTAAATTTCAGTGTGCATATCTACTTGAAAAACAAATTATCATGCATTGTTCTTTATATATTCGTTACTTACATAGAACATTTATTTTTATCGTATCTCTATACAGTAAAGTGTCCTCTGGACCTTCATCTTTGCTTTTGTTGCTATGCGAGGTGCACCGAAAGAACGCCCCATTATCTTCTCTTGTTACCTTGTATGTGATATTAACATTGGTTAAAAATTCACAGTTTCCGGCTTCATCAAACATTTGATCAGACTCTTTTATCAAAATAAAGTTGTTTTCAGTGGGGATTTTCCACCATTTTGCAATTCCAGGTGGTTTTCCTACATCAGCTACACAATTTAATTGCAGATCTTGGTTTTCTTTTAGTTCTGAGTTTGAAATCAATTGAATATCTAAAGGTCTTCTGGCTGACTCTGTGAAAATTGAATTTCATATCAAAAGTTTTGAATATTCTATCACGCCTTGACTTGGCAAAAAGAAAACATGATGTAAAATTACTAGTAAAAGAAGAAAACGTTAATTAATTAGACGTATTGATAAAGTTGAAAAAGAGGCTTACTTCGTAAGGAAATGGATATTTCTGAGGAGGGTTCTTCATCATCGCCATTAAGTGCATGATCAAATCTAACGGTACATTTGTATGACGGTTTTTCATCATCACATACTATTTCATTGATAAATATCAAAGCGCTCGATGAATTTTCAGTGGGATTTATAAGTTCGGATCTATTACGAAGATACTCTCCGGGTGAATAATATTTAGGATTGTCACCACCTGGCTTTGAAAATCCAGCAATATTGTCACCGTTTCCTGATTTCCACTTAATTGCAAAACCAGGCTCAATGGATTCTTCACTTTCTTCTGTGAATGAGCAGTTTAGTACTAGTGTTGCATTTATATCCTCCATGTCAGCAACAGTTTTACTCCCTTCCACACTGATTTTAAGTCCAACGCTTTCTATCAAAATTTAATATCTTTATCATGATATCCGTATTTTATAGGATATGTTACTGTGCAAAGTTTTTTTTAAATCTGTTGCTTCGACAATTTTTATATGAAATTTGCAAATATTTGAGATGCCATGGTGTGAAATATTTTTTTTAAAATGGTGTTTGTTAAGATTTGAAAAAAAAATCACTGAAAAGACTTTTAAAAATCTGTCTTGTACAAAAATCATTCACAATTTCAGTTTAAAGAAAAACAGCATATTATATGAATAAAGCAAATTAAATTACTTAATATAAACTTGATTGGAAAATGTTCCAAGAAGGGGGATAATAACGGAAAAAATACCTTCAACAAGGCAGAAAAAACTGAACAGAATCAAGATAAAATCCATTTTTATATCAATTCTGCAGCAAATAGCTCATTTATTTAAATTCATGCATGTATACTCTCCTTTTTATACACTGTTCGCGAAATCATGTGATTTCAAATCGATTCAAGAACCATAATTACCTTTTCACTTGCACGACAAACTTCCCCTTTAAATTTTATTGGTCTTACAGAAAGAAGGTGATGATTATAAAAGTACATTTTAGGCCAATCCGGATCCAACAAAAACATTGAGAAATCATGACTTTCTTTCTTATAACGATATTGTGTGAGAAATCTTGTAATATAATAAAAATATATTTTGTCTTAATAAAAAAGTCTTAAATGTTCATTTTTTTAGCATATCTACATCAGTACATGTATCATGTCCAGATATTACGATCGAGTTCTTTAAGCATCAGTTGAAAAAAAAAATTATCCAAAATGGAATATCATTCCCACAACTTTCAATACAGCTATTTATAAGAACCATGCAAAAATGAAAATAAGTGATTCATGGTAGTGACAAATTTTTCAAAAACTATCATATTTACATTGAGATACATGTACATGTGTATACATATACATGTGTACATCAAAATAAATACTTAATCACATTTATATTTGGATTTCATGCATAGTTAATTAAAAAAAAATTCAATATATACCCAATTGTACTGAAACAGTAAAAAAATCCATTGAAAAGAGTCTGTACGTGCAGGTGATTTTTTAAGAAGGCCCACACTCTTCTAGAATGTGAATTATAACATTTTGAAAACATGTAAAAACATAAAATTCTAGTTATCTCCCTTGGAACTCTTCAGTAAAGGGGTTGGAAAGAGTGCATATTCAGTTTAGAAGGTGAGGATTAAAAAATGTGTGTGATTTCATCTTCCTTTTTGAATTTTTGTTGATTTTAATACAACCAGGGGACATGTAAGTTAAATCTTTATTAGAAAAATGTAAGCCTGCAATAAAAATAATAACTTTGCCTGCAATTGCTTAATTTTATCAGACAAAAACAAAATTTTATTTTATTTTCTAATTTATGAGGACAGAGTTTGGTGTTTTGAAGAGGCTAACTTGTATAACAATAACATCAAAAACTACATAAATTCAGTTTATTTTGGGGAAAAACATTTGATTTTGTACTTGAATTTGAACACTAGCTGGGGATTACATTATGATGAGTACTATCATTCCAATAACAGCGTGTCACTTTGCTTGATCGACCGTGGTAACAATTTCACAAATTGATTACCATATCATTCATCGATTGGATGTTTGATTTGAATGAAATCAATACTACTTTGCATATAAAAAACAGAATCCAACAATACCCCGACAACACTGACCAATCGTATTGAATGATTGTTTTCCAGCGCGGCATTTGTAGTCACCGACAACACGTGGTCAGTCAAAGCCCATTTACTGTTCAGCAAAAAGCGCGTGCCATATTTCATTATTTCTTGTGATTTGACTGAATGGAGTTAATATTGATACGTAAAGCATGAAATAAGTAAGGTTATACTTTGAAACTATTATAATATATATATATATATTATATTGTATATAGCGATCAATTACATCATTATAAGGATAAAAAACTTGCCTTGCCTATCCACATGCGATTATCGTTTACTACATTCTCGTGAACAATCATAAGATACGATTGGTCAGTATTGTAAGTGGTATTGCTGGGTTCTGTATTTCATATGCAAAAGTAGTATTGCTTTCATTGAAATCAAACATCCAATCGATAAGTATTATCGTTTTACTAACAACGTGACAGTTTGCTTGATAGGGCGTGCTAAAATTTCGTATGCCTGATTATCATTTTACTCATCGATTGGATGTTTGATTACAATGGAATCAATAATACTTTGCATATGAAACACAGAACACAGCAATACCACTGACAATACTGACCAATCGCACTGAATAACAACAATAACACGTGAACGGACAAAGCAAGTTTTACTTCCTATAATGATAATATTGATAGAGCAACGTACATATATAGTACAACAGAAGTAGAGTAACCTTACTAATTCCATTCTTTAAATTTTCTTATACGTATTCAAAAACCCGTCCGGTCAAATCACAATATAATACATGCTTTTTTGAGGACAGAAAACGGGCTTTGACTGACCACGTGTTGCTGCTGCCTACAAATGCTGTACTGGTAAACAATCATTCAGTGTGATTGGTCAGTACTAAAGTATTATCAGGCTATTGTTGTATTCCGAGTTTCATATGCAAATTAGTATTGATTTCATTGATCCAAGCGATGAGCAAAATGATAACCAGCACACAAAATTTTAGCACGCCCCATCAAGCAAACTGTCACGCTGTTTGTAAAATGATAATAATATGGTAATCAACTTAAGCAAAGTGACACGCTGTTGTTATTGGAATGATAGTATCTCTCCTTTCCATCAAATGAATATTCTCTCATATTAATTAATGTATGATATACAGTCGAGTGGAAGAAGTTCTGCTGCTCATAATACATTAAGTCATATATGAAGAAGCATGAAAGGTACAGAAGAGATTGGAAGGAGCATAATTTTTTCTATGTCTCGTTGCCTCTATGGATGTCATATTTAGTCTAGATCAGGTGATTTATGCATAAATAACTCAGGCTAATGTCTAAACAAAAACACTATTGACTATTTTTCAAATGAAAAGCTTAAGGGGGCAAGTTAAGAAATATTGATGGTTATCAGCCCCGCTAAAAATTTACTAGCCCGAGAAAATAATTGTCTTTTATAATTTTTTTTAAATAATGTGAACGGGGGTCAGATTATAAAAAAAAATGATCTCGAATCTTTTGTCTGACGAATTTTTATTTTTCCTTGTAACATTTTGCTACCAATAGCATCAGTTGACTTGGGAGCGATTAATCAAATTAATAAATTTTAATTAATGAAAACTTTGAACAAGTCCAGCCGGGTGTCGATACGTGCAAATTTGTAAGCCCGCGGCAAGATTTGTGCGTCTCGGGCGGTCATGCGCACGGTTATTTCAAAAACTGTTTGGGAATTGCTACTTTGAATTTTTAATTTCTGAAGAATGTTGAATCTGTAGTATATACATTTATTTACTTAAATAACAAATTTTATGTTCACTACTTAGATTTAAAGTTATAACTTTTTAAACCCCGATTTATATTGGTTTTCCAGTTTTATAACAGTTATTAAATAAATATGTCATAACCAACTGAACGAATCCACCTTATCTAATTTTTTTTGTTAATATCTTCCTGATTCTAAAATAACGAAAGGGATCCTTAAATTAGATATTAAATATTAATTTTGTAAGACCAAATAAGACCAAAAAACTTTTAAAGATCTACATATAAAATGTAAGATCACGAACAGACATCGATCATATAAACCCAGTAAACAAAATGAATCGTGAACACCAAAGGTCTGATCAGGTGGCTAGGAGGAGTAAACATCCCCCGGTGACTCGCCACACCCGTCATGGTCCTATATATTGATAATTCTTTGTTTTAAAGTTGGTGAATTGTTAAAGTCCTTTTTTTAACCTGCTGTTGATTGTTTTTGGCATTCCCAATTCCCTATCTAGAGCAATGATTGTTGCCATGATGTCATACTAATTATTAAACATCACTTTATTCGCTATGCTATGTTGAACTACATGGTGTAAATGATGTTCTATCAGAAATAACAATGTCATTGAGTTTTAGAAAATTATTAGTAGTTCATCACAAGGTCTAAAGTATTTTGACAACTTAAAAATTCTAAACTTTATTCCAACTGGCTGAAAGAATCTCTAATCTGCACTCAGTTTGGTAAAGGACAAGAGTCATTCATAGAAGTTCGATCTAGGTAGAATTAAAACTCTGAGATACCTGTAATAGGGTTCTTGTAATGACAACATCGTTTCTGGTTTAGTTGATTTTATTAGTAGTACAAGTATAAGTAGACCCTGTAATAGCAATAACAATTATTAGACAAGATAAAAAAATATACATTCAACTGCAAAATAGTATTTGTTATCATTATAAATTCATACTTTATAGTTCAAATTCTCTTTGTATTAAATGTATATAAAAATAATTACCACTTCTTTATCACAGATCAATTCATCATAAAAATAATTTCTTTGACAATTTAGTAATTTAGAAAAAAGAAAATCATAATAATTTATCATAATCATTAACTGACATTAAATACATACTAGTAGCTAATACATGTAGCTGTTTCAGTCCTATAAAGAATGCATAAAAATGAGTAACCTCCCTTAGCTGATATAAAAATCTTTAAAAACGATAACTGATTAATTTAATGAAAAAAAACCTATGCTTTTAATTGGAAAGGATTATTTAAATTATATGAAATAAAAGCTAAAATTCCTAATTTTACGATAAATAACATTACAATTATACAAGTTATTTATAAAACTAATTTTACAACTTTACACTTATTTATTCATTTCACTCAGTCCTACATATATACAATTTCAAAACTGAATTAGAGTGAAATGTCAGATAAAATATTTATGTTTCTCATTTACACAAGTACGCAAACTCTCAAACTTTCATTCACCATTCTAACACCTTTT